TATATATATGAATATCCAACTAGATGCAAGCACCTGTCTATCAAGTGTGAGGCCCTGAGTTTAAAATCCCAGGATTTCCAATAAGAGAAAGAAAAGAGAGAAAAAAATGTCTAGGAATAAATGAAGCAGTCTGTGCAAATGTCTGTGGAAGCATCTATGTTTAACAGTTTGCATGAGATGCAGAAATAATCAAGACATCTTTTCTAATCCTTCCAAAAAGTACCTGAGATCTGAGGAAACTGAAACACTCAAGTATAGATACTTTGCAGAGGCAACAATGTCTCTGGTATCATAAATCCTAGCCTTCCGTTTACATGCTCACTTCTCTAGGATTACACAGTGCAGCAATATCTGCCTTTATAATAGAAAAAGGCCATGGTCAATGTTTCTTCAACAGAGTAGTGTACCCATCAAAAAAAAAAAATGGGGCAAATTTCTAAATGGGTACTACCATTGGAACTGCTTAAGCATTTAAAAAACCAAAAAACAACACTTTCAGAACAATGAGACCTGATCTCATATTCTTATCTTCTGTCATTCCCCTCCTGGCAAACCCTGGTCATCACTAGGTACCATATGACCACTGCTTATTCCCAGAACCCAAATGGTATTTGAAAGAGAGCTTGCCATCACTGAGAACCACTATCTCACCCAGATGGAGACCTTTCCTAAAGAGCCTTTTGGATAATCATGAGAACACAACACTATCTCACTCAGATGGAGACTTTTCCGAAAGAGCCTTTTGAATAATCATGAGAGCTTTTTTTTTTTTTTTTGGTCAGTTGTGGGGCTTGAACCCTGGGCCTAAGGTGCTGCCCTGAGCTCTTCAGCTCAAGACAAGTGCTCTACCACTTGAGTCACAGCACCACTAATCATGAGAGCTTTTCCATAATGTTCTGAGCAATGGTATAAATGTGAGCACTTAAACCTGGGGTGGGAATGTCTGGCCTGTGGCTATATAAGGCTGGGAAATCATTTAGTGCAGGGCAGGACAGACACACAATGCCCATCAGTTACTTTTGTATGCACCAAGAATGATGTAAATATTCAAATGGCCCTTGGCAAAAATAAATTTTTACCACCCCTCACGTAAACAGACATTTCCAAAACTCAATTTTAAGAATTCTAGTAGTTTCAGTTAAAAGTTAATTTCATCACAATAGTGATATGCTCTCATAAATAAGTCTTTTTTTAAAGAAAAATTGTTTTGTTAAAGATGAACTTTTAAACAGCAGCTGAATTCAAATTGGCTATATGTCAAAACCAAGTCCTGCGTTCTCCAGTCCTAAATAGAAAGTGTGACCAGGTGTCACTTACCAAAGTCTGTTTTTTCAGCAGTGGTGCATCCCCATCAAATACAAAAATAGGACGAATTCGAAAAAACAGGAGTTTGCAGAGCCGATGAAACAAAGTGAGGAGATGAGCGTTTTCTATTGAGTTCCCGTGGCGATCTCGGACTCCTTTGAGAGCTTGGTTCAACCAGATGCTAATATCTGAGAGGGCAGGTAAAGGACAACCACTCACGAGCTCACGGGGGGGGGGGGGGGGGGGGGCACCAGGCACTGGACGTTGAATGTCTGGCCCTGATAGAATCTACTGAACACCAGCTAACTCTCTTTAATCTAGTTACTGCTTCACATATCCCTAATTTTAATAGACACACCCCTTTAAAAGTCTAATGGCAAGGAATTGCTTAAAAACAACAACAAAAAAAAAAAACTAGCTATCCAAAGACTTTTGGTAATCTGCCACAGATTTTCTGAATTACAGTTTAGCAAATCATTGCAAATCCCCTAAAATTTGTATTCTATTTCACCTAAGAATCCAGTTTTCAAACATTTATCCTCATAAATCATCATGGACTTTATAAGAACACTTGTAGATAACAATTAAAATATTTTAAAAACATTCAAGCTTTGCAACAGGGTGTTTTGTTTTTACTTTTTCATTTGTTTGTGAGTCTTGGGGCTTGAACTCAGGGACTGGGCACAAATTAAATTATAAGCCAGGCGCTGGTGGCTCACACCTGTCCTAGCTACTCAAGAGGCTGAGATCTGAAGATCACAGTCTGAAGCCAGCCTGAGCAGCTGGTGGCTCACACCTGTCCTAGCTACTCAAGAGGCTGAGATCTGAAGATCACAGTCTGAAGCCAGCCTGAGCAGGAAAGTCCGTGAGACTCTTATCTCCAATTCACCACCAAAAAGCCCCAAGTAAAGCTAAGGCTCAAGTGACAGAGTGCTAGCCTAGTGCACAAAAGCTCAGAAACAGAGACCAGTCCAAGTTCAAGGCCAAGCTACACACCTACACACACACACACACACACACACAACCTAGCTTATGGTACCTGTTTCCTAAAATATCAGTTATTAAAAGCATAAATCTACAGGAATACCTCTAGTGATAACATAGTCACAAAGTATTACTAAAAGAAAAATAACTGGTTCCAAAACTACGTATCATGTAATTCAATAATACAAAAAAATAGAGATCAGACATCAAAATATTAGCAGTTTTCTCTGCTAAAACTAGAAGTAAACTATATTTTCTTCTTGGCCTTTTCTCCAGTTTTTAAACTTTTCCTAATACTTTTTTTTCCCATAATGTATTTTGCCTTTCTCTACAGGAAAGAGCTACCCAGCACTCTGCTGGATGTCTTCTAGCTCTTCTCTCCTGTCTGTAGCATCTAGCAAGGCAACCCAACCCTCACACCACACCCAGAGTGGGAAAGCCAGGGAAACATGTCTGAGGACAAGGCTCCAGTAGTAGAGCACTTGCCTAGAATGCATGAGGTGTTATCCCAGTGCTGGAAAGAAGTGGGGGGAGAGGGAGGAGGAGAGGAAGGGAGGGAAGAAGGGAGGAAGGAAGGAAGGAAGGGAAGGGAAGAGGGAAAGTAGAAAGGAAGGAGGGAGGGAAGGAGGGAGAAAAGGCAGGCAGGCAGGCAGGCAGGGAGGAAGGAGGGAGGGAGGAGGAAGCTTAGAGGTACAGGGCTCTTAGGAAGGCCTATCTGAAAAAGTAGCAGACATGAATGAACAGCAGAGATGGGGGATGAGATAGGGGATCCGTTGCCAGTGCTCTGGGACAAGGGCAACTTCCACTTGTGGCAGGAGGAATGGCAGGGCACGGTGCACACAAAGCAGCACCTACAGTCAATGGACATTTTCCAAAGAACAATCTGAGGCACATGTGAGGAAAAAAGATCCTAAGGAATGCAGCATGCGGTGGTTCACATATCTCAGGAAGCTGAGATATGAGGAATGTCATTCTAAACCAGTCCGAGTGTTCATGAGACTTTTATCTCCAATAAACTACCCCCCCCCAAAAAAATGATCTGTAAGTGGAGCTCTGGCTCAAGTGGTAGAGCAATAGTCTGAGCAAAAGCTCAGCAACCTTAGCCTAGGCCCTAAGTTCAAGTACCAGTATGGCACATGTGTGTGCCCGCACACACACAATTCAAAACTCCTAAGGTTAAAATACTAAATAATGACTCATGCCTGTAATCCTAGCTACACAGGAAGATGGGATATGAAGATGTCAGTTTAAAGCCAGCCCTAGCAGAAAAGTCCATGAACCACCAAAAAAGCAGCAAGTGGAGCTGTGGCTCAAGTGGTAGAGCACTAGCATAGAACAAAAAAGCTCAGGGACATAGTCCAGGCCCTGAATTCAAACCCCAGGACTAGAACAAAATAAGTAAATCAAAAACCTGAAAAATAAAAATACTCAACCACGAAACTGATGAATCTTTTATTTTTTTTTTATTTAATCACAGATCGTGACAGTTCTCAGCTAAGGCTGAGTTACAGCTTGAAATTCTTGGAGAAGAAATACATTCAGCCAATATTTGTATACTTGACTTGTTTGATTTCAGTTTATAAAGCAATAACTGAATTTATCTGAAAACTGGAACAGATCTGCAGCAAAACCACATATAACTTTAGAGTTAAGACCCAAAGAACCCAAACATTTTTAAACAAAAAAAATCCATTTCCTTAGTTTTTAATTAGTGACTTAAAATGTAACCACTCTGCATTATAATGCATAATATCGAGAGAAATCTCCTAATACATGTAAGGGCATTTTTACAAATGTTAAAAATCCAAAAGAGAAAAAGTTAAACCTTTCATTACAGATTGTTTGACCTAGCCTTTTAAATTGGACAAATAAACAAGAAACTCACTCGGCTACCTAGATCTTTATTTTACAGTTCCAGGAGTAAAATGTAGATACTTTATTAACAAGCAAAACAGTAAAATTTCAGGTGTCCCAATTCCATGATTATCAAGGAAAAATCAAATAGACAAGTTATCAAATGTTACATGAGATTATCCCATCCCCAAATGGGCCTCTTTGAGCTATTTACAAATATAGTTTCTTTCCTCATAATTTGATATTGTTAAAAAAAAAACTGTTGATCCTTGTGTCATCTCAAGTGTTTTACAATTTCTTCATCTCTTATTAAGACTGTATCATTGAAAAAAAAATCTTTTCTGGCTTTTTTTCTTTTTTTGGGTCCGGTGGTGGGGCCTGAACTCTGGGCCTGGGCGCTGTCCCTCAGCATTTCAGCTCAAGGCTAGCGCTCTACCACTTGAGCCACAGCGCCACTTCCGGCTTTTTTCTTTTTGCTTATGTGGTGCTGAGGAATCGAACCCAGGGCCTCATGCATGAAGGCAAGCGCTCTATCACTGAGCCACCTTCCCAGCCCTGCTTTTTGTTTTCTTGCTGTTGTTGCTGCTGCTTTGAGACAGTCTCATTACATAACCAAGGATGGCTTCAAACTGATAACCTTCCTACCTCAGCCTCAGCCTGCAAAAGGTGGGGTTACAGGCATACCCCAAACGCCCAGCTAAAGAATGTTTTTCTTTCTTCAGTGCTGAAGATGGAACCTAGGGTCTCAAGCTTGCTAGACCAGTTGTCTGCTGCTGAGCTGCACAGGCAACCCCTCTGCTGAAGGTTTATGGTCCCTTTGACTAACTAGTAAGTTCTCGAGATCTCTTATCGTGCAATGGTATCAGAAGGCCACTGGGGGACAGCCTAGCCCAGGTGCTTTCCCCAACTCAAAGTACCCTGCACAAAAACTTTAAAGTATTCACTACAGATCAACCTGAAGGTATTCTTGCCAAATGAAAATGATATCCTACATTTTTCTTAAAATTGTGTACATACTGGAGAATTCACTCCTGAGCTCACGGCTTCTCTGCTGAGGGGCCTTCCTCCGGTGCTCAGAGAACGTCTATGACTTTCGGTCTCGTGTAAGGTACCAGCAGCTTCAGACACAGAACAGGCAACCAAAAAAAAGAAAAAAGTTACCTATGCCCCCTAAAAGAGTAAACACCTTTATACATCGTTATCCTTGAGGGGGGGGAGGGGGCTGTCGGCGCGCTTCTCTGGCTGAGATCTTGAGGATTAAAGTGCACAAGCTCCTCACGTCCAGTTAACCGCTCGCGCACGCGCACACGGCCATTAAGTGGAGGTGTGACTTAAGTGGTGGGAGCGCCAGCCTTGAGAGGAAAAAGCTCAGGGAACGACGCCCAGGCCCTGATTTCAAGCCCCAGCACTGGCACGGAAGAGGAGAGGGAGTTAAGACAGACAGCGAGGGAGGGAAGGAGGAAGGGAGGAAGACCGGAGGGGGGGGGGGACAGATCGAGGGAATGGGGGTCAGAGCTCAGACAGCAGGACCGCAGGGAAAGCCCGTGTGCGGACCAGCGGCGCCCGCGGAGGAGCACGACTCCATCGCGGGCCGCGCCCGCGCTCCGCCCCGTGCGCGGTGACCGGAAGCACGGAGGGGCGCCCGCCGGCAAAGCGCGGGGCCGGGGCGCTCGGCCGAGAGCGCGCGCGCGCACCCCGCACCTCCCCGCCGCCGACCCCCGCCCCCCGGGGCCCTCCCCGCCGGCGCCCCGCGAGCGGCAAGGATACCCACGGCCAGCACCTTGCCCTCCAGCGCCTCGGGGCTGACCGGCCGGCCCGCGCCCTCCAGCAGCCGCCACAGGCCCTGCACACCCATGGCGCCCGGGCCTCAGCCCCGCGTCCCACGGGGCGCACCGCCGACCCCCACTCGGAACAGACGGGGAACAGCGCGGGACCCGCGGCTTTCCGGAGGGAAAAGTAATGCACAGACGCCGGGAGGGCCAAAAGCCGGCCGGAAGGCGGGCGGCGCGCTTCCGGCTCGGCTCACTTCCGGGGAGGGAGGCAGGACCGGAAGGCAGGAGACGGGCGGGAGGGCGGGGCCTGGCGCGCCGGAAGTGAATGGCGGTCCCGCCCAGTGCGGCACGTCAGCCTTGGGCTGCTCACTTCCGGGCTCCCAGAGACTGTTGCAAGTCTGTAAGGGTGCGAGTAGGAGAGTGGTAAAAAGGCTTAGCTGTTGTGATCTGATGTAATGCACTGTCTAAATAGGTAGACAGACAGACAGATAGGGTAACTGATATAGATGATAGTACCACTTAATATTAGATAGGATAAATGATACAGATGATAGCGCCAAATACTTAATATTAGGTAGATAGAGCTAAATAGATAATATAGATGGTAGTGCTACTTAATAATATTAGGTAAGATAAATGATATAGATGATAGTACTAGATAATAGGATAAATTATATAGCTGATAGTGCTACTTAATATTAGAGATAAGATATAGATAAGATAGGATGAATGATATAGATGATAGTGCTAGATAATATTAAGACAAATGATATAGTTAGAGCTACTTAATATTGGATAGGATAAATGATACAGATAGTGATGCTTAGTAATATTAGAGATATAGATAGGATGAATGATATAGATTATAGTGCTAGATAATATTAGATAGGACAAATGATATAGATGATAGAGACAAACTTTCTTTTGGCAGTACTCAAGTACTCAGGGCTGTACATCTGCTGAATGATTGATCTTTTTACCACTTTAGTCACACTGCATTGCTTTGAGTTTGTTTTTGAGATAGGATCTCCAACAGCCTTGGGCTGCAGTCCTGTTACCTCCCAAATGGCTGGGATCACAGTCACATATCACCACTTCTGTCTTGTTTTGCTAGTGTCTCCCCCCCTTTTTTTTTTTGGCCCTGGCTTACCAACCATGATCTTCCTGCCTCTGACTCCCAAGCAACAGTGATTATAAGCAATAGCCACATCATCCAGACCAATTTAACCCCCAAATAAGAGGTCCACAGTTAATTTACAACCAGGAAGTATTTCTTTCAATGTTCTTTAAAAGATGCTATTAAGGATCTGAACAGTAAAGTACACATTTTTTGTATTACCACACTAGTGTTTTAATTTTGAGCATCAGGCTTGCTAGGCAGATACTTTACCACTTGAGCCACGTCCCCAGCTATTTTTGCCCCTTAGTTTTGATCATGATCTTCCTACACCTTCATCATTCTCCGCCCTTGTACCAGAGAAGACAGGAATGCAACACCACACCTAGCTTATTTGTTGAAAATGGAGTCTGTCAGCCAGCTGGACAAGCTTCCTAATCTCTGTTGCTCAGAGTTCAGAGGTTATATGCCCTAAACAGCACTTCTGTCTTTTAAACATGTGTTTTCTTATTCTTTCCCCTTTTCCCCATTTTACCACTGACAAAATAAGCACAGAAATTCATCTTAACTTGTCCTAGAATAATACAGCTGATGGCAAAGCTAGCATTTCAAAACTCCGTTTCTATCTACAGGCACTCCTAAGAAGTGTCAAACAAGAAATGAAAAAGGCCAGGCACCAGTGGCTCACACCTGTGATCTTAGCTACTCAGTAGAGGCTGATGTGAGGATCACCGTTTGAAACCAGCCTGGGCAGGAAAGTCTATGAGTCTCTTACAATCAATTAACCATTAAAAAAAAAAAAAAGAGGTGGAGCTGTGGCTCAAGAGAAGTAGCCTTGAGCAAAAAAAGTTCAGGAACAGTGCCTAATCCCTGAGTTCAGGCCCAGAACTGGCAAAAAAAAAAAAAAAGAAAGAAAGAGGAACAGATGTTCTTCATTTTCAAAGAGAGGTCTGCAGAAACTCATGCCTACACTCTTGCCCCAGACTGAAACCTCACCTTCCTCTGAGTAACTGCCATATTGTAAGGCAGAGTTTTATGTGAGCATCTAGGTCAGGGCTGTTAAAAAAAAAAGTGATTATAACTCCATTCTCCTCTCCAACTTCCTCTCTTCATTGTCAAGACTCCCTCCCCTTGACCTCCCTCCACACATCTTAAGTACCAGCTTCCTGGGATTCATTTTGTTGGACTGTGAGTTTGTTCCTAAGAGTAAGACCAGGATATAGAGGGAAGAGGTGGGCTTGGGGGGGATGGGTATAATACTGGCACTGACAATGAAGGATGAATTGCATTCATAAACTGTCATGTTGAATGGTAAACCCTATGAAACTAAAACATAAAACAAGATTTTTAAAGAGCAATAAAAATTTATTACTTGGAATACTGGAATTGAAAATACCCTGATTATCCCTGAACTCAACATCTTTTCTTTTTTTTCTTTTTTTTTTTTTGTCAGTCATAGGGCTTGAACTCTGGGCTTGGGTGCTGTCCTTCAGCTCTTCAGTTCAAGGCTAGTGCTCTACCACTTGAGCCACAGCCCCACTTCTGGTTTTCTAGTGGCTTACTGGAGATAAGAATCTCAGGGACTTTCCTGCCTGGGCTGGCTGTCAACCGCGATCCTCAGATGACAGCCTCCTGAATAGCTAGGATTACAGGCGTGAGCCACCAGTGCCCAGCTTCATGTTATTCTTTTATTTTATGTTTTCTCCTTTCCTCTTTGCTCTTCCTACTTACCTCCTCTCTAAAATACTCCCACTAACAATTATGTTTGAGCTACAAAAACGGAAACATTACTTGATTTGAGCTAATAATAGAGTCAATGTTCCATTTCCTACTATAAAGCTTAAAGAAATCTATAATGATCATCTTCACAATTATATAGTTTCATTCATTAAAAAATGCAATAGTCATGCTGTTTTTTATAACACTAATTAGCAGAACAGGCAAAGTATCGTGTACTTTACACAAAATTGTAAGGGCACTTCATAACTAGAACAAAGGTTCAGGAACCACCACATAATTAAAAGTAGAAAACAAAACTTTATTTGATGAAAACTTTTTAAAAGTTCCAGTATGAAGTAACAAAAATCAACAACCTACAAATCTCTTCCAGTCCTTTGCATGCCAAGCAAAATATTCTCTTCAGAAAATGACCATTTTAGAATATATATCCCTTTCTGTAGGCTAGACATGTGTGAGTGGATAAATGGATATAAAATTCAGAGGGGGGAAAAAATGAAAATATTCTAAAAATAAAAATCTGAACCCTCTTCTTGAGGTGTATTGCGATATGGTAGCCAACATATTCAGCACCTTGTATTCCCCAAGTTAGTGACTGGAGCCCCAGAACCAGCCCCAGAAAGGAAAGATCAAGAGATCCCACAAGTTTTTGAGTCACAAGTTGGCAGCAGAAGAAAAACCAACAACCACTGGAGAGGAGCACAAATGCATGAAACACACACTTGTGAAATTGTCAATACTTCAAGAGCTTGTTATCTATATGGTTCAATAACTGCAACAGCTCACAGTTTAGGACAAAGAGAGCTGTCCTCTGAGTGGCCTGGGCATTCCTAACACATCTTAACAGTGCCATTGTTAACATGAGACTCCATGTAAGGGACTGGTCAGATACCAGAAAAGCTCACTGCACAGATTACCTTGTGTATAGAAACCTCTGATGCCACTTGTCCTTTGGCTATATCCCTAAAACAAGGTTTAATCTAAACTTATAGAAGAATGCTTCCAAAACCCAAGGGTTCTGTCAATGTTTCACAGTAATATACCAAGTCAAGAATATCTGAATCCACACAGCAAGTCACCTGCACACACCACTAGAAAAGATCAGTTCCTTCCATCTTTCTCTTTTGCCTTTGTACTGAGAATCATGAAACGGTTGTTCAGGAAACAAATGGTGAGGCTAGCAATGATACTGCTGTACGTGAAAGACTACTATTCACAACATGATTATAAATGAGCTTTAAACCATGAGCAAACTTTAGAAATTTTACAGCCCTCACTTGTTTTTGTTTTTTAGGGGCAGACAGACAGTGCTTTACCTCTTGATCTTAGGAATAAAACTATCTGGAATAATAGGCCTAAGGATCAAGTCTTAAGAAATCACTTCATGCTTAAGTATTTCAAATCCTGATGCTGTTAAGTGAATTTGTGTTTGTATTTAGAAGCAGTTGTGATTTTTATCGGATTCTATGAAAAGTTCTGTCCAGATTGTTAATCTACTCTTAACTGGAAAAGGGTAATAATCTGTGCTTATCTGCCTATGCATCTGAATTCGCCATTCTGTCATAGTCCTATGCAAGCACATTGACTAGAGAACTACAAGGTTATGCTTTGTGCCACAAGGTCTGTCCTACTCATAGACTTAAAGAAATCTACTGACTCGAAGCAGTGCTGTTCAGGACGGTGATGTGATGTCACAACTGTCCAGCGTCCCGCATCAGTCATTCCCGTCATAATCACTGTAGCCCTGGTAGCCGCTGTTCCTTCTCTCGTGGATGCTGGACATTTTCTTCCATGCCGAGTCCTGATGGAAGCTGGCGCTGAAGGACCGGCCGAGACGCCCATGCTGCTTTCTGGAGATGTTGTCTTCACTCTCAGATTTGGCGATCCCCTGGGCAAGCACTGGAGGCTGTGATTCTTGTCTAATTGTGCCAAATGGAAAGTTCCAAAGGTCAAACCTTTGCCAGCTCAGTCTCTGGAAAGCTATGATGCAATGCAAATTCCCCCCAACCTGAGAGGAAAAAAGCAGAAGAAGAAAAGTTAAAGCAAATAAAGAGAAGCTGAGCTACATGTGTGGCTATTGGGCTCTCTCACATTTTTACTCTTCTCTTGCCCCCAAACAGTATTTTTCTGTTCACTCCCCATCAGAGCACACTGTGCATGGTTTGTATCTTTCTTTTTTTTTTCTTTTTTTTTTTTTTTTTGCTTATGTGGTGCTGAGGAATCGAACCCAGGGCCTCAGGCATGCAAGGCAAGCGCTCTACCACTGAGCCACCTTCCCAGCCCCGGTTTGTATCTTTCTTGACAGCTGCCTTTATAAACCATAACAGAGCCCTAAGTAGCCACATACCTCTCTCTACCCCATATGACTCTCCTCAACTCTACCCTGAACACACTGTCTAGAGCAGATGCCAAATCAATTTTCCTCTCTCTCCTGTTCTTGCTATAGTCATATATCTATAGAACTGCCGCAGACAAACATCTACTCCATCCACACAACGTATTTCCTTTTTGCTGAGGGACTTCCTGTAGGCTAATTGGTCCATATCGCTCTGGCCACTGAATAAAATTAATTTGGACTCAGTTGGGCTAAGACCACAGAGCAAGGCAGGCCAGCATCAGTTCAGTTCAGACTACGCATCTGAAAGGGAAAGACACCAACAGAAGGGTAATAATCTTTAAGCAGTATAAAAGGAGAGACAAGAACAACACAGAGCCCATGTGAAGAGAAGAGAGATTACTAGCTACGGGGTACTGCTATCATTCTAATACCAGGAAGCATTCTCTATGCCACTAGGCTGTCCTCCTTGCCTTTGAATTTTAAAGATAGTCCTCAACTGGTAAGATGAAATGAAAATGCCTTTGTATACCTAGGTAACAAAAAAAAAAGTCCTGTGTTCTTAAAATTTTCTTGAAATTTTTTTTAAAATTTTCTTGAAAATTTTCAAATAAGCAAGGGAACTAAGGAGAGACTTCTCAGAAGAAGAGGTAAGAATGTCAAAGAAACACATGAGGAAATGCTCATCATCCCTGGCCATACAGGAAATGCAAATCAAAACAACACTGAGATTCTATCTCACCCAGGCTGAGATCTGAGGATTGCAGAAAAGTCCCTCTGAGACTCGTATTTCCAATTAACCACTCAAAAACCAGAAGTGGCGCTGTGGCTCAAGTGGAAGAGCACTAGCCTTGGGCTCAGGGAGAGCACCCAAGCCCTGAGTTCAAGCCCCACAACCAACAACAACAACAAAAAAGATACCTGCACTCTAGGTTCATTGCAACACTATTCACAATAGTTTCCAAGATATGGAAACAACCCTAATTCCCCACAGTAGATGAATAGATTCAAAAACTGGTATCTATACACAGGGGAATTACACAGCCATTAGAATAAAATAATGTCATCTGCAGGGAAATGGATGAACTAGAACAAATTATGTTAAATGAGGTAAACCAAGCTCAGAGAGACAAATGGTGCGTGTTCTCTCTGATATGTGGAAATTAGATCTAAACTACACTGCAATATAATAAATTATACAGGATTCTAGATACTCACACATAGTGGAACCAAAAAAGTCTACTCTTAGGAGAGAAAAACAAAAGGCACAATGTCTAAGTGCCTCTTCATATTTATATAAAATAATATATATACTGAAATGATCTCCAAGATATGGAAACAAGACACCTCTTTTTTTTCGTTCTTTTTTAATGTGTTAGTTTTTGGTGATTCTGTCTACTTTGTGTATGATGTATTCAAGTGTACATCTTTGGAAGGGCTGGAGGGAGTGTACAGAACTCGAGGGGAAAAGGGTGAAAAAGTGCAGCAATGGAGCGCTCTGGACACTGATGAAAAGTGAACTATAGATGGGTGGAGATGGGAGGGAGGGAATGAGAGAGTGAGGGAACAGAAGACACTGCATGAAAGGAAATGTACTCATTACCTGACTCATGTAATTAGAATCCCTCTATACATCACCTCCATCATAACAATAAATTAATAATTTAAAATAATAATTTTCATTTTGCCATCTAAAATGGATTTTCATCTAAGGTAGATTTCTGTTTTTTAGTCCCTCAAGAGTGTGGAGTAAAGTACAACATTCTGATCACTTAGGAAATGCTCTCAGCCAGGCGCTGGTGGCTCACGCCTGTAATCCTAGCTACTCAGGAGGCTGAGATCTGAGGATCGCGGTTCAAAGCCAGCCCGGGCAGGAGAGACCGTGAGACT